AGACACTTAATTGACCACAGGAGGACTCTCTCAAGGGCATTGGGCTGCAAAAGCTCTTCTGTGAGCTCACAGCTTCAGCTGATGTAATCTGCTACAAGAAGCTGACTTCTATTTTTAAATTGCACTCTTTCACTCTGCTTTCAAAGGGCACATATATCACACGTTGTAACTTCGTTTGTAAAATACCTCGTGGTATGGGCTCCCGTCCATTTCCCTCCCAGGGTGAATCATGCTGTCAGGAGGGTCGTCCAATGGCAAATAACCACCCAGCCCTGCCCATCTAAATTCATCCACCACTGCCTATCATTTGGTCTTTAGGAGAATCGCTACAGATGGCCACCCTCTCCAGGTGTCTGGTTCATCACAGTAATTTTGACAAGGACCAGATGACTAGCAGGGTCCTGCTTGAGGGTTGGGATCAAGCTTTTCACCTCTTTGTGTTTCCACCCCTTGATACAAACACTTAATAAATGTTTATTAACGTTGCTGCTGAGAGCTCTGTCACCAGGCTTACGTGTTTCAAAAGGGCCAGAATGGAAACAGATAGTTTGCTTTGTCTAATTTTAAGTTTCTCATTTGTCATTTTGGTCCATGCTCGCTGTGTGTATGTATAGCATTTTGCAAACACTGAAAAAAGCTTTAGTTGGAGGTGTGTTGTTGTTGTTATGTGCTGTCGAGTCTGACCTGACTCACAGTGACCCCTCCTTGGGTTTCCGAGGGAGTATCACTATGGAAGTAGATTGCCCATCTTCCTTCCGAGGAGTGGCTGGTGGGTTTGAACCGCCAGCCTTCTGGTTAGCAGTCAAGTGCCTTAGGCACTATGCTACCAGAGCTCCCTTAGTTGGAGGTGAAAGTACTATTTATTGCTACTTATTCTGCTTATTCCTAAAAAGAATGGAGAGTTCCATTATTAAAATGGTGCTACTGTGGGAGAAGAGAGAACACTAAATTTCCCTCTGGTTTACTTCCCTCTTCCTTCCACAGTCACCCCATCTGTCCTCTAGGTCTGTACAAAGGCCTCCTAGTGGCTCTCCCAGGCTCAAGGCCTGGCCCCTTCAAATTCTTTCTTCACATTAAAACTTGAGAGAGCTATGGAGAATCCAAATTTGATCATGTCCCTTCTCAACATACTTCCATTCTCCCTTTGCCCTCAGGGAGATGCCCCATCTGGCCTGGACCTTTTCAGCCTGATGCCACCCCTGTCCCCACACTCACCTTGCCTCCCATGATCTGATAATATAGACCTGTCAAGTCCTTAAAAGTGCCCTGTTCCCTTTCATCTAATGGCCTTTGTCCAAGTTGCTTCCTCAGCCTGGCCTCTGTTCGGCTGTTCCCACTACCTCTGCCCAGCTCCTTCCCACTCAGCCTTCAAGTCTTCCCCCAGGAAGTCTCTCTGAGGTGTTCCAAGTGATGCATCCATAACCATTTATCACACTGTATCATGTTTATTTGCTTTATCCCCAAACTGGAGTCCCTGGTGCAAACGGTTACACATTCCATTGCTGGCCAATAGGTTGGCAGTTCAAACTCACATGTCAATTTCTCAAACAGAATGAGACAGATCTGAAAATCTGTGTCCCAAAAATCACACAGCCTTGGAAATCCTATGGAGCACAGTTCTACTCTGCATGCATGGGGTCGCCGTCAGCTGGAATTAACTCATCAGCAACTAACAACAAACCAAACAAAAACCAAACCCACTGCCACCAAATCGATTCTGACTCAGTGACCCCACAGGAAAAAGCAGAAGTGCCCCATAGGGTTTCTAAGGATGTAAATCTTTATGGAAGCAGACTGCTTCATCTTTCTCTTGCAGAGCAGCTGTGGGGTTTGGACTGAAGATCTCTTGGTTAGCAGCTGAGTGCTTCATCACTGCACCACCAGGGCTCTTGAATAATAATAATCCCCAAACTATAGCAAGAGTTAGGAAGGCAGCCATATCTGCTGGTTCACTTATTATATCCCTCTGCAGGTTACCTGATAGGTGGCTGTGGTTTAATATATTTTATGAATGAATGAACAAATGAATGCATATTGAAGATTCTAACCAAGGGATCATACTAGTGAGGTACGATTTATAATTTTGTCTCTTCCCAAAAGTGTGAATTCAAAGAACGGAATGTGAAGCAAAATACTGCTTAAGTTCAGGATTCATCAGTTGAAAAATGAAGGTGGCAGCTGGTTCTAAAGAGACTGAAATCGCCCCCTCCCATAGCAACTCCTAAGGAGCCACCCGCAGCTGGGCCAGTTTCCCACATGCCTCAGAAACACATTTCGGTTACATGTTCTTGAGAGATAAATGGAGTCTCTGTTTAAAATGGAACTCCACTGGGACAAACCCCTAAAGCTTGCTCAAAGTCAAATTTCATGTTTAAAACCCAAGAGAACAGCAAATTCCACAATTTAAATTCATTCCAAAAAGGGCTGCCAGCCACAAATTATGCTACTTCTTACCTGCAAAACCACATGCCAATTTCCAAAACAGAATGAGGTCAGCTTCATATCTTGGTATAGCCCTAGAGGTTTGAGAAAATGTGGGTCTGGCACCTCAAACTCATTGGCTAGAATCTGGCCATCAGATATGTGAGTGTTATTGTGGGGCTAAGTAATGGGTCAACCCTGGGGTTACAGCAGGGAAAAGAACTAATTCACTCCACCCCTGCCCTTATGGAGATTCCAGTCTGATCAAACATACACTGGAAGATGGAGTTTTTGAAAAAAATACTCTTTTGCTAAGTTCAAAGTACACCACGTTCAGCTATTAAATTAAATCCAGCACACATGGGATTGGGGAGTAAGGCATCGTTTCAGCTACTTCTGCACGTCAAAGGAATTTTTTTAAAAAAACCATATTTTCCAAAATCAACAAATTGATGACACTAAAGACTGGGTAATGTTTCAGCATTCAAACCAAATGACGAAGGGCTTGGTTTTCATTACATCCTTACACAGCTAGTAACCACCCTCAAAACAAAACCAAATAAGCATAATTTTGGATGAAATTCTTATGCCTTCAAGTAATTGTGCTTACTTCTATTACCTGGCACATAAGAGGTGCTCAATAAATGTTTGTTGAATGAAAAAACAATAAGGGAGGAATTACTATAAAAATGCTTATGTCAACTTTAGATATGTTCTTCAACTTCCTTTTTTCTTCTCTTAGGATAAAAAATCATGCATATTTTCTGGTTTTCATTTCCTTGTCTGAGTTTGAGGAGCTCTGGTGGCATAGAGCCTAAGGCATTTGACTGCTAACCAGAAGGTTGGTGGTTCAAACCCACCAGCCACACCATGAAAGGAAGTCTGGGCAATCTACTTCTGTAAAGATTTACCATCATGGAAACCCAATGGGGGTTGTTGTGAGTCGGAATCAACTAAATGGCAGTGAATTTGGTTGTAGAGTTTTTGTCTGGGTTGGTGTGGGCAAGTAACTGAACTTTGGGATCATTTTCCTCGTGTATAAAATAATACCTGGGTCTTGGTCTATGAAGCTTAAAGGAGACACTAGATATAAAGTGTCTAGACCATGCCCTGCAGACACTTTTTTTTTCTTTTTTCACCCTCTCCGTCCCATCCTCCTCCACCCTGCAGATAAAGAGAGTGCCAAAGACAAATCAGATCCTGGATAGAAAGTCAGGAATCTTCTCACGTAGCCTGGGTTCACCATCATCTAGCTATCAACCCTGTACATTTTTATTTACTCTTTTGGGGCCTTGGTTTTTTCACTTATAAAACAAGTGAATTTTGCTTTATCATCTCTAAAGGACTTCTCTGCTCCAATTTTCCACGTGCTCAGAAGCTTGCCTCACCAAGAAGGTATATGCTGCTAACGGATGTTTATGATCAAAAATAAAATGGAACTTGATTTTCTTTCAAAGGGAGGGATTCTAAATTATAACCTGATTAGAACTTGAGCGAAAACATGACTTTCAAAAGAATTTGTTTCAATCCACTACCTAGGTCAAGAAATGGTGACAGCACTCTTAAACAACTGAAAGTGCCCCCTTATCCCGGCCCCCACATCTAACCCCTACAGCACCAGCGAGATTTTCTATTCAGAGGTTTCCCAGTGACGCACTTAAAAAGAAATGTAGGGATTTTAAAAAATATCACGAATTACAAATGGATCATTTGAAATAAGTAAGACAGTGGACACAATGTTAAGTCAAACCTATCAGTTGGATGATTTTTTTTCTTCTTTCACACCCTGAAATAGACCCAGTTAACCAAACAAAGAACTACCAGGATTGTACACAAGAAAAATGTCCACATTTCCATAAATACTCAATGTATGACTGCCACCCAGTGGTGGCATGTATCCTTGTAGATAAGAAAATTTTCTCTAACAAAAATACTTAAATAGCTAAATTTACAGAAGATAAATAAAGCTTTAAAAACAAAAACAAAAAACAACTGAATACAGTTCCTTTGCTGCTTACCATTTATGTCAGAGAAATTTAAAAGCATACCTATCTCCTCATCTATCTATTTTCTTTAGAGAAATTTCTGAAGAATTTTATTGCAATGGAGTCAGTATCACATTTTTCATTACTACAGCAAAACCTCACAGCTTCGGAATACTTCACAAAAAAGGAGTATTACGATTTCCAATAATTTTAGTATGTATTAGCAATTTAAAAAGATTTCCCCAAAAGTGTTCTCATTTTCCAGTTTCATTTGAGCTAATCTTGATTTTTAGTTATGCATGAGAAGACATTTAAAAGTGACAACCTTACAAAAAGTGCACATTGTATGAAAAAATATGACTTCAATTAGAACCAGTTACTAAATCCCAGAAATTTCCAGCTGTCTTTTCTATCTTATCCTTGGAGAATTATATATCACATTAATTGGTATTCTGTCACATAAAAAGACACCAGTGATGATTAATTGCATCCTTGGTGCTTTTGAGTTATGTCTTCCTCACCAGAGGGATTTAAATCACACCTCATTACCTTCCAGCAGGTACCCCTGTTGGTAATGTTCATAAAGCCTCCTACCTTCCTGAACTTCTCCATTTGCTTGTACAGGTCTGGATCAAGCTCCTGTGACACGTCCTTCATCCATAATAATGCCCCTCTGTATTCAGTCCGGCACTGCTCCATGCGGTTCACTGTCAGCCAAGTGTCTGAGATGGCCCGATGCCGAAAAGTCTCCACTTCTTGGTGAAATCGACACAAAGGATTTCTCAAGGCCAATCTAGGCAAGAGGATAAAGCCACAATTTTGAAACTAAGCTGGCTAACACTTTAAATCCTTGAGAGCTGACCAATCTTAAAGTTCTGAGCCTGGAAAGGGGCAGGAACACAGAAGACGCTCAATTATAATTGAGCGCATGTGAACTGATGAGTCAGCCAAGTACAATTTTGCATGTTCTGATCCCTTGGTTTATGTGACATAGCTGGATCACTGGGAAGAGATTCCATCAGTGTGGCTGCAGTGGTCTCTTGCTGGGGCAAAGCAGTCATTTGAAACTAGAACCAATCCTGTGTTAATGGAGGAAGATCATTTCTACTGTTGGGCACTCCTTGCCTCCTACTCCTTTGAAGCCTGGTCCTTCGAGGAGGGATGGACGCAAGCTTGAGTAGTGTCTCCTTGACTTGGCCATTTTGGAGTACTCTCCACAGGCCAGGGCATCTGCTGCTTGCTTCAGTAGTCAAAGTGTAATGAAGCATGAACAGAAACATATTGAAATGGTCTAGGAAGGGGAAAAGTAGATTTACTAAGATTCTACTGTGTGGTGGCACCTTCAGATAGGTTATATGATTTTGAGAAAAAAAAAAAAAAACTCTGAAAGATAATACACCCGAAATTACTGTATATAGCACAATGAAGTAGATGTAAAATAATTATAACATTGGCTATAAGCAACAGACTCTTATTTATTCAACAAAAATTGTTTCAGGCACATCAAACGTTGGATAAAATATTTCTTCATAGGGAAGGCTATTTTTACCTTTTATCCTCCTACCCCAAATTAGCAATGTCAGATGAATTAAACTCTTAACAACACACTACTCTTCACTAAGTTTCAAGGCACAGGTTGAAAAAATAAAATTAAGATGAACATTTGAATTTCAATTTAAATGTAAACTGATTGAGCTGACGGAAGGGAGCATGAGTATTAGTGATGTGGAGTTGGCTTCTGGCAGTTCCATCAATGTCTAAGTTGCCTAATATGGGAGTAGCTCTGCAAGCTCATATAAAAGCCACCTTTTACCATTTTCCCCTTGTCTGTAAACTTTGTTTTCTTTTGGTTTGTGTTTGGATTTTAATATCCAGCATCTCCATAAAATTCCCTTACTAACATTGTTCTACCTAGATGTTACAGGTTGTTTTCCAAGACACTGTTGTGCCTTTATGCAAGCATATGTTTTATTCTTGTTCATTTAAATTTAATATAGTTCATCAAATTGAATAAGCATGTGTAGCAATGACTACTAAATAACTCAGTGAAACAAATGCTAATGTGAAGGTTTATATAACTGAAGACTTCTACATAAAGAGAGAAAGGGTTCTCAACTGTCCCTATAAGGATTCAGCTCATTTCTGGACTTCTTAACTTCCTGTGGGTTTTGCTGATTTTCCTAAACTGGCTGAAAAGAGTCTCATGAATAAAGAAAGCATTCTCAATTTCTTTGTTAAAGCTGGACAGAAACTTTTGAAGATGGGATTACATGATGGCAGATGTTAAAATCTTGAAGGAAACAAAACATATAAAATCATCTTTTCTGTAACTTGCTTTGTATAAAACTCAGAAAGGTAAAAATTCATTCATTTGTGTCATCAGGGACTGAATCTAGATCAAGGGAAAACTAAATAACTGTAACTATCAAGCTTCAGCCAAAGATGACCCACTTCTTCATTCATGAGAATCTACCCAATGGGAATAAAGTGTGTAAAGGACTATTCCAAGAACATTTGTCCTTGAGAAGGAAAAAGTAAAAATGACCCAAGTAGTGAACAGAAGGGCTCAGGTGAAATGTGCCACAGTATGGCCAGATAATGGAATACTATGCTATAGATTTTATAAAATGTATATGTTAAAATGAAAACAAAACAAAACAAAAAGGTATTGGGGATACTTGACCAAAAGCATCAATTTCTTAAGCCATGATTCGATGCTATTTATGTGAAAAATATATTCAGGTATATTCCAAATCATGTTCATCCAGGTTTAAGAATTTTATATAATCTTCCTACTTTCTTCACATGTAGGAGGACTGGCTTAGATTTTATGTGCCTGATGAGCAGAATGTATCATGAAACCAGAGCCACCATACAGGTGGCTACCTTTCAATTTGCAAAGTTGGTTACACTGTATTAAATTATAGTTTACTAGTTTATATTAGGAGCCCTGATAGCATAGTGCCTAAGGCACTTGACTGCTAACCAGAAGGCTGGCGGTTCAAACCCACCAGCCACTCCTTGGAAGGAAGGTTGGGCAATCTACTTCTGTGGTGTTACTGCCTCGGAAACCCAAGGAGGAGTTGCTATGAGTCGGGTCTGACTCGACGGCACATAACAACAACAGTTTACATTAGTGTTAATTTCATGTATTATTTGCACTGTTGATTTTTTTTTTTTTTAACAGTTTTTGTTTGTCTCAAAGACTGAATTACATAACCTTTAGGTACCCTTTGTATGCTTTGTGAGATAGCTCGGGCCATACCTATGGAATGGTATAACTGAATAGCCATATTATAAAAAATTAATAACATGACCAGTAATGGTAACTGTTGCAATGATTGTGTCTAGGGATTTGGCTCCGTTTTCCATAAATGAATATTAATTTTGAAGTTTCCTGCATCATTCAATATTTTGCCCACAGAATCTGCCAATATTGCAACTCCAGGATTAATTTGTTCCTCAGTTCTTTCAGCTTGAGAAATGCTGAGTGTATTCTTTTAAAATTTTTTCCGGTAAAATTAATAATAATTACATGGTTAAAATATGAGAATTTATTCTGTGAAGGGTTTTTCAGAATCAATTATCCTTGTAAGGCTGGGGAAGTCTGTATATCATAGAAAGTATCTATCAGGGGCTTAGAAGTTAGTAAAATTTTAGCTGTTTTTTATTTTTCCCCTTTTGACTTTCTCCAGAGAAGAGACAGTAATGAATCATTGAGATAAGAAGGTGCAATTTCAGATTCTAAACACACACCCTTTTTGGAAGACTTGGGTAGAGAACTATTTAGAATGGTTTAACTCAACTATAAAAATGTCGTTGCCCATGAAGACAGGGCCAAAGTGTCCAAGAGTGGGACCATGGGAAAATGGACACTGTTGGTCTCTTGTTTGGAATCCATCTTTCTTCAATTTTCATGGGCACACCTGTATAACTCCCAGGTGTAGGCCACGTGCAGATGTCCTGCCCTTGGACCACAGGGAGGACAAATATTAAGAAGAAATTAACAGAAGGAATAAAAATGTTTGACAGTTTGAGTACATGAAATTTCTAGAGTTGAATATTTTTAGAAACTATTTATAAGCCTTATGTATGTATAATTCTGCCTAATATTAGTGGTTGACATTTTTCAGGGCTTGTTAGTTACTGGAAGAGGCAAGAGGAGAAGAGTGTCACTTTCCTCAAGCACAGAGCACAACTGTATGGTTATTCAATACCAATCAAGAAAATGAGTCATACTTGAGTTTTAAAAAAATTGTGACAGAGCTTATCAAATGTGAATGTGCATGGGACTCATCTGTAGATCCTGTAAAATACAGGTTCAAATATAGCAGGTCTGGGGTGGGGCCTAGATTCTGCATTTTTAACAAGCTCCCAGGTGATGCTACTGCTGCTGCTGCTTCTGCTCCAGGGACTACATTCTGAGCAGTATGGTTCAGAGCATCTTGAACACCTTTTCTCTGAAGTTAATTGGCCCCTGGAGAGCAGAGAAGGAACCTTCAACCGGGTCTCATTAGGCTCTTGCTTTAATCAGCTGCTGGAAGGGGACCAGAAGGATTGCTATGAGCAATGCTGAAGGTCATATATAAGCCTAGGACAGTACTCACAGTGATTGGCGTATGTCATCTCCTCTACAGACTAGAAGAAATATGAAAAAATTAAAAAATAAATCACCAGGCGAAAGATTATACACAATATCTTAATCAGAGCATGAAGCAGGAAGAGACCAACACCTGAGTACGGGGTAGCTTCTCAGTCTCAGGCATGAGCTTTCTAAAGAACCCCTTTCACATGTGGGTGGGTCCCAGGGTCTTTCCAGACTCCCCAAAAATAAAGTCCCGAAGAAGGTCACACACCTTTGCTGGGAAGAAAAGCAGAGGGCCTTTCCTGTAGCTTGCATCATTTTTCCTGCTCTGGTTTTATCTTGGAAGCCTTGGGATCGAAGAAATTTTCCCAGTTCATTTTCTTCTTGAGACAAGACTGATGAAGAAAAGACCAAACGGAGCCATGAACAATGAACATCACAGAGGGCAAGAAACAAACCACAGTGTCCATTCTTTTCCAAGGCAAAGACGACATGAAATCAAATCCAAATGGGAGGCTACAAGGTAAGCTCTCCCCGCCATTTAACTTTCATGCTGTTCTTCCATTTACAAAACGAGAGATCAAATTCACTTGAGTACATCTGTCAGTGAGTTTGGTGCCTGTAATCAGAACCAGAAAATGACCTCTGTACTGAAAAGCAAGCTGATACTATGCTGCTTCAAGCTGAAATAAAGGAGTTGGGTTTGTCGAGTATGACTGTGGGAATCTTTTTTTTTTTTTTAATTGTGATTTGGGTGAAGATTTACAGAGCAAATTCACTTTCCATTCAGCATTCACATATACTTTGTCTCATGTCATTGACCACAGTTTACCACAATGCAACAGCTCCCCTCCCACTTCCTCCCCATAGTTACCTCTTCCCAGT